GGAGTTCCGGAAGTCCCGCCGGGACTTCCGCCCGAAGGTTTTCATTTTCAGAGTGCGAACTCTTCCGGAATTCAATGCTTCCGCTTGCAATTCCTTCACTTGCCCACCTGTTCAGGTGCGTACGCCCCATGATGGTTTGGCAATACGTTTTGAAACATGCAATTTCTGCTTTCAGAAAAGCGGAGTTCTCAGCGATAATACGAATGATGCATATCATCACATCGCGAGCAAACTCAAAGGAAATATTTTTATAATTTTCATTGATGTGATACGTAATCAAAATTTATTCAAAGCTGTTCGATAACACTCTGAAAGATGACATCCGTAATATAGCTGAATTCCATATTTTCGTGACATTGGCAACTCGCAATGCTGAAAGGAAAAGACTAAAAATGTAGATATAATTTCCATGCGAAATATTGATGCATAGGTTTTCAGAAAAACCAGTACATTACTAAGTGATATATGGGTTTCAGCTCATGTTATTAACGGTATTATGAGGAATGTAAAATTTACGTTGCGAGTTACTGCATACAAATACTGGAAAAATATTTAAATTCAGGCAATGAACTTTAATCGTCCAGGTTCTTTTTTTTAATGTATGGGCATGGTTTTTTTAATGTCGAATAACATTTTTGTTGTATAACGAAATAAAAATACGAGAGCTGGGCTGTACCTTCCTTTGATGAAGGAATGATGAAGATTAAAAGAGTTTTCAAGGATTTGCATTTCATCGTAGCAATTTTTCACGTTTTTTGGTAATCCAGGTTAAAATTGATCAGAAAAGGCAGGCTTGAAAGCGCACTTAAAAGTCACTGGAATAAAATTCGATTAACCCTCGCACACTGCTATGATTTATGCATTTTGTTAGTTTAAAAGCTGAAAATTTTGAAAATATTTTACCAGACAATTTCACCCAAATGGAAAACGTATCGGACATGTTAATGCAAATAGCGGTTTCGTGATGACCAGGATTGAATGAAGAGGTTGGCCGAAAATTCTGATCACTGATGAAGAAATTGCGGAATTCAAGGATGTAGTGTGAAAAAAATTCCAGGGGAACGGGAAGATGTTAATCGCAAGTCCTGTCATGTCCACGATAAATATAGCGAGATATTTTCCTGCGAACTACTGTATATTAAATCTTGAGTTTTACCATAATTTTCTCTGGAAAAGGAAAAAAAATGACAGGATGGATAAAAAAAATATCGTTACTGCTTTTATGTACCGGTTTAACCTATTTCAAATTTTCTCGCGCTCTGAAGGCTTATAGAAAGTTGACGATGAAACAGATGATCAAAAGGGTCACTTTTGAGTCTGAAAAAAAAAAGTTTTTGTCTTTTCATTTTAATTGCTACCAACAATCAATCGAGCTGTGATGAATATTCCCCTCCCCCGATTTAGGTCCAAGACATGAACGGCTGGGAGCTGATCGGAACCCTGGGAGTGACACTGAAGACGTTGGGGTGGCAAACAATCGATCTCACAGCAGCTATTCGCAACTGGACCCTGGAAGCCCGACCCGTGCCCGAGGCTAACGTTACCGGTGGATCCGGAGATCCCCTCATCATCGATGACAAGCTCACGCTGCTCGTCGACTGCGCCGGCTGTCACGGACTCATCGAAACCGGAATGCCGCCTGTCGACTTCGACACCACTGACGAGCGCAGCACGAAAGTCTGGCTCAAGCGTCGCAACTTTGCTCGCGACACCAACTCCGCCGCATTCACTCCTTACTTCGTCATCGCCTCAAAGCGGTCGGCCAAGTCACGACGGAAGCGAAAGGCATCAGCGACGTGTCCCGACGACGACGACGACGGCGGCAGTGACGACACCGACGTGGCGAGACGGAATTGTTGCGTGCGTCGGTTGTTCGTCAGCTTCAAGGACCTGGGCTGGGACGAGTGGATTTTGTACCCGGACGGGTACTTTGCCAATTACTGCTTCGGCGAGTGCAGGGAGCCGAATTTTGCGCACTTCAACACGCACGTGCTCAAGGATTATCGCAACTTGTTCCAGGGCACGGACGAGGAGTATTACGAGGCACTTTCGCCGTGCTGTTCGCCCACCAAGCTTTCCTCCATTTCACTCATTTATTACGACCAAAAGAAACGGATCATCAAGCGAGATCTTCCCAAAATGCGCGTCGATGAATGCGGCTGTGCTTAGATGATTTTAATTTGAATTATCCGATGAATTTTGATATTCTACAAATCGTAAGACCCCGCGCTATGAATGCTTTCGAGAGAGTCCGCCATCAATAACTCGGTTTCATTTGGAATTGTCAATTATTACCCCCCGAAAAGCACTGATATTCTGATGATTTGTTCAGCAGAAATTCTCGGTGTTTCAAAGATCAGAAAAAAATGTATTTCGTGCTGTTGAAATATTTTACTGCCGATTTGAATCCTCTTTCGGTCATCCCGCATTTTATGACCACATTTTCCTCATAATTTTCCAACACGCAACATTGAAGCTTTTCATACAAAACCCGATTTTGGCTCTTTTCCATGTTTTCGAAATCAAAATTGGCCAATCTGAAACTTCAGTGCCATTCGTGAACCGTTTTTAAATGCGGGTGGACTCTTTCTCTACGGTGATTTTGTCTACAACGAGTTTATCTGTACGACAAATTTTTTGGTCCGATATGGATATCGTTGTTTAGAGAGTTTCTCTGCAACGAAATTCTTTCTATAACGAATTTTTTCTGCGTTCCCATACTTCCCACACATTTTTGTTGTAGAGAGAAAGTCCACCTGTATAGGTAAAGTGTTTGAAGAGTTTGAAGTTGAACTGAGATTAAGCAGAAAATTGCAAAAGTTCATGAACTATGAAAAATGTTCTGCAAATGAATGAGTATGCGTGGCAGCTGTTTTCTTTTAATCGCACATAATTTTGGATGATTCGATGATTTTTTGCCTATGGAAAATAAATTATCCGAACAATCTTCGAAGAACTGATCATCAAAATCGCGAAACTTCTGCTGGAGATATACACCGAGTGAAAATGCAGAACTTGGATAGCATGCTGAAATAAGGAATGCATATTACTTCTGGTTTAGTATGAATGAAACAGGGACTTGGTTTGTTAGTTTCTTTACTGGACTCCGCGAAAACTTATCTTCAACGAAATTCTCATTTTTATCCATGTACCGAAGCTGTTTCCGACCTTTCGAAAATACAGTATTATAACTTGCAGATCTTCATACTTATTTTCTATGAGTGAGAAATATTCACAGGAAGAGGTTGTGAAAATGTGTCATTTTGTATGAGGAACAGGATATCTGCATGAAGAGAAAACATTTCCAGACTTTTTGTCATNATCTGACATTCGTAAGTGCATGAGCTAGGAGAAGAAATTTGGCGACTGAATGGTTGCCACGCGCGACGCTTGTCTGCATACGAGCCCTTTCCGCAAGACGTGCATCGTTTGCATAAAAAGTGGTTCAAAAATGCGTCAGCTCGCAATATAGCGCAGAAGCAAATACCTCGCCTATATGGGTGAATATTTGCATAATGTCAGTCCAAAGAGAGCACGTTCCTTGCAGCGGGTTTCCGAGATATGAGCAATTCGAAAACTTGCTGAAATACTGGCTCCGAGAACTTCAAATTGAGTAAGCATTTCGCATGTTGGCCTTCGAAAACTTTGGCGACCTTCCGTTCGAACTGGTGTAACAAAAAATTGGTTGTTTTTGTTTGTTGGTTTTGTTTTCAAGTACTGTATCTATATTCCGTGGAGGAGAAGCAACATATAACTTCCTGAATTTTTTTCTTTAAGAAATCCCAACTTTAGACACCATCAAGGCCTTCAAAACTCGTACTGCGGGGAAATAACTTTTTTCCCCGGAGCACTTGTTATTCCGGGACGTTTCTGTTCTCCAGAGCAGCCTGGGCTAGTTCAACATAAATCCTTTTTTTTTCTGCGTGTGCTTCGTAACTGGGATAAATGTCCGATCGAATGGCGATTTTTTGCAGGTCTACACAGCAGCAGCTTTGAGAACCATAAATTATTTAGCATTTCTTTGCGATTGCGAAGAAAGCTCGACATTATTTTCGGAACTGATCCCCTGGTTTCCCAATTGCGAGTGCTATCGTCAAATTTTCTTGTCGCAGACCGGAATAATCCGTATGCTATTTCATGGAT